TTTATATATTTGCTTAAATATAACGTTGTCAGAACTAAATATTTTCTTATCGAACGCAATGATTATAAGTATAGTATTTTAGCATATTAATTTTTATCTTATAGGAATCTATTCAAAAGGGATATCTTTATTCTTTATAGCAAACAAATATTTATCAATATTCAGTTTACACCAAAATCACAAATTCATCCATGTTTATTTATTCTTCAAATTATTATAACGCTTATATTTTATTCAACTTTGACATAAGGAATACTTTTTTATATAAATTTGCTAGTCCAAAAAACCCACTTTTTTTCTTCCAATGCAATCATTATCTATACATTCCTAAATAATTCCCTTTGTCATAATTATAATAGACGTTTTCTATAAGTAATCTGACTAACATTACACCTTTGTCGTATTCTAATAGCCTGTGTTATAGAACGCGCCTTACAATATTAAATTTATAATTCATACTACTTGATTACGAATCCACGTAATTACTATGAAGCCAACACAAAAATAGATTGCGTAATGGCATTCAAACTATTGTCCAAAATGGCCGCCGCGCATGTGCAGTAAGTATCCCTAAAGTTGCCCCTATCCTACTGGCATTTATAAATAGAACGTTTATTAGATGAAAGTAAAAGAACTGTTTATAAATGAAATGCAATCTGTCAAAATTATTAGGATTAATGAAATAATGCCTGTCGTGTAATGTATATGAAGATATTAAAGATATACTATGCTCGAATTTCATATTTGAAAATATTTATAATTGCTACACAGTCTCTTTGTAAATATAAAAAACATGCTCTAACTACACACAAAGTAGATATGTTGTGTTTAAAATTCTACACACTATAGGTGGTTACAATATGAATATATAGTGTCATTAAAAAACTGACAATTTTTTTTAGAAAATACCCATTTTACTTTCAATAGGAACCGCAGCTTCTAATACATAATTTAATCTTTCTGTAATTCAAATTGGACGTATTTGGTAAGAATGACATAGATTATAATACATTTCTGTGATAAAAATAGTTTACGCAAAGATGAGCATATTATATCTTTAAAGTCACGATTATCAAAAACATGGCAACGACCAAATCAATTATCAATAATTCATTTTAGTCGTTTAAAAAAATTAAAATGTAGTGGAATTAAAATACAAGTCTCCTTCTTAAAGAAAATGCATACGAGTTGTGGTTGTTCAAATGGTTGGAAAGTAAGAATGTTTGAGTTCAGTCGAATTTTGAAGCGGAGAATGCCCATTATATTTTGTAGTCTGGTTGTTCTGATTCAAACCTTCAAATGAGAAGGAAAATTTCAATTTTATACGCTGTGGCGCCGTTATATGTTGCAACGCCACTTAACGCCACAAATGCCTCTAAATGGCGCATCATTGCCGCTCATTGTCGAAAAATATTCTGCCGCTCAATGTCGCAATGGTAACATTTAATTCGCACGATTTTAATCTGTACATATTTATTATTTTTTTGGACATAAAGGAATGTCCCGATACATCTGCCGACTAAAGATGACAAATGCTTTTTAAATGGATTGGTCTTGGTTTGCAATCGGCACATTGTCAAGAAAAACATGTATTTCAAATATAGATAAAACAATAGAAACGTTTCATTTGGATATTCGAACAGAATATTTCTTAAACAAAAAAAGAACTGTTAATCTTATTCTACATGACATTTATATGATGAATTTCTAAAAAATTGTTCAATCAACATCCACACATAATTCTTTCATGGTTTGTTATCATACCTAATACTATCACCATAAATATTTATGGTATTGCATACTTTCAAGAATAGACAAATACACTTTAAATGTCTTTTTCGGCAATTAAAATGTAAAAACCATTTATTTAATTAGATTATGCAACTACGATACAAGATATGTGCATATTATACTCATAATTTAGATATTCTACTTTGCGAACTTTGCAAATAAGTGATTAAACTAGTTTCCATCTGCTTGCCCCTTGCCATTGTGGGTTTGAATAACCAAAAGGTTATTAATCCCAAAGGATTAGTTTATGTGAAGAAGCTATAGAGCTATATAACGTCACGGAGGGGCACGAAAGGTGTTCTGGAAAATTATTTATCTTGGCTTACTGTGTTGGTGTGATGTTTCATTGTTTAAAAACTAATTAGGACTTCGCATATCCTAATAAGAATTTATTAGTTTTACAAACTTATCAGGAGCAGTAAATTACTTATTTGTTCTTTATAGAGAAAATGTAATTGAAGGGTACAAAGTTCAAATTAGGGTGTTTTTCATTATAAGTCTTTTGGTGCTTCTTCTAATAAAGATTTTTTTCGTAACTCCTAATAGTGTTTTTATTTCTCCCAATTAGGCATTAAAACTTCTAAGATCTTCTAATTGTAAAAATTTAAAAGTTTTACTGGGTTTATTTCTCCTAATTATGAATAAAAATTCCAATTTAGTTGTAATTGGTAGTAAAAAATTGTAAACTACCCTATTTAAGAGAGAATCAAAGTCTTAATTCGGCTTTTAAAACTTCTATTACGATTTCAGTAGTTTTTAAGAAGATTAAGATTTTGTTCCAGGCTGTTCCTTACCAAACTTTGTCATTTAATTAGCGATTTTCGACCATGCGACCACAAACATGCATCGAGGACATGTTGTAAGGAATGTCTTTGGCCACCACATATACGCATCACAGGATTCCCATTCTCTTACGAGAGAGGGACATAGAGCTGTCCGCCCTTTTATTAAAGGGCAGACTTTAAAAAAATATTCCATTGCCTTATTGTTATTTATAAGGAGGCTATTTTCACAGATATGTTTTGAATTGGTAAATATATAACAATAGTAACTCAAACCAAGCGGGGTATCGGTTTGCAACCTTTAAAGTCCGCTATGAAATGTTAAAAGGATGATGTATAATTCTCTGAAAATTTAGAGTTTCAAGTATTTTATACTTTTCATTCTATGTATATAACAAAATTATTTCAATTTTTCAAAAGGTTTTATTAGCATTAAATGTTTGAGATATATATTTCAAACATTGTTTTTCAAATATAACTCTAGGGGAATTTCTACCAAAGTACGCATATACATTCTTTAATCGACTTATTCTACTTGAAAAAGGTAATGTGATGGGATGCATGAAAAAATAATTAAACTTTAGCAGCCGAAAATTCTGACACTGGTTAGACCTACATGATGCAAGTCTTATCTTACTTCTTCTTTTTATTGTATCTGTTAAATTTGTAAAATGCACTTTTTAACCTTCCGCTGTTTTTTTAAACTGTCTGTCAATCAGGAATATCAAGAGAACAATGTCTAAAGTAAGGATGCCACGGATGTCCAGTCTGGCATACATGTATCTCTATACTTGTAAAATCACTGCAATGTTTTAAGCAGTGGTCAAACATGTATTTAAAAAAATTACTTTTGATCTAAGCTCTTTCAAAGTTTAAACAGATAATATTATACAGTTTTCAATCTGCCTTTATGTCTATGTTACTGAAGCATATACCTTTAAACTTTCAATTGCTATATTTTCTCAAGATTGAAAAGTTATCAATGCATAGGTGCATCGAAGAAACACTTTTTAATGACATACAGTAAACATTAATATAAATCAGACGGAGTCACTCAATTCAGTGCCATTTCACATTGCCTGAAATACAACGAATAACCCTACGTATATGAACTCAACAGTGAATGACATATGAGATTACTGAAATAAAAATAAAAAATTTGGTCGTATTAGAAATTGTTTAATCCGGTAACTGCGTCAATAAAAAATCTTTTTGCCCTTTCACATTAGCATTTTTCTGTCATCAGAAAACTTTTACAAATGATAGTTTAAAAGCCTCAATATGGATATAAGTACAATATAAATAAAGAAATAAAACAGTGCGCTTGATTTTCTGTCTGAGTTAGCAGCAAATTTAAGAGCATTTTACGTTATTATATATAGGCAGACTCGAAAATGCATTTCTGTTACAACGGCAGCATTTACACTTCGAACATCTTTAACATTCTCAAGAAAAGACACAGTGGGTTTATCACCTTAAATGATGATTGCATTAATGAATTTTACAAAATTGTAATCTGATTGCGGCAAACTAATAGCAAATATAGTATAATAGCTTTTATATAATAGCGAAAACAATGCAGGCAAACATGCTTGTATGTGAAAAGCCGAAACAAAATATAGAAAATTATAATCTTAGAGTTAATTTCAATAGAATATTTCTAGAATAAACTATTCGGTGTATAATATCCATCTGAAGCTGCTGATGTCGTAGCTTGAATCAAGTTTAACAAATGTGTTTTATTACAAAGGGGATCTTTGGCATAAATTGTTGCCGATAATTTATATTAAGATGGCTTCAGTTTTAACCAATTTCTTTGTACATTACAGCAAATCCTTTCCTATCTGACATTTTACTGTAGAGTTTGACATTAACAGTAAGGAAAAATGGTGCGATATTTAACCTCGTCATGGCGATATATTACGGCAAACTTTTTTGAAACATTTAGCGGCGGTTGCGACATTTATTGACAATAGTACGACATTTAGCAGCAAGTGCGACATTTAGCGTCGTTGCGACACATGGCTGTTCAATAAATGTAAAATGACGTCATAAAATTTACATAATTGTTTATTTCAAAAGATTGACTATTTTACTGGTGATTGAACAAAACGTTTAGGATAACATATACAAACTGCCTTAAATGTAAAAAGATTGAGTTGATTATCAACTGAGCATAACCGATACGTTCTGAAGGATATTTATATAATTTCTGCGTGAAACGTGCGTTATTGAATATTCATGAAAATAAAATATAAAATTCGAACCAAATATGGCAAAATGTAAACTTATTTTAACTTTACCTGTTCCCACAACATTTTAGTTTTGATGGGCATTACGTCACTTTAAGGCGAAGTGATATAGTTTTATCTAATTGATTGATTTACGGGTTATTATGTGTGAAATATATATAGTCCTTGGTTTATTATGTATCTTACTTATATATTTATGTTACATATTTTGTCGAACACACCAGTTCAACCAAGAGCTCCACCACAGCGATCTACACATAATCTTCAACATCAGCATCAACCAAACCAATCTGATTGCGGACAGTGCGAAATCTATTTCCGTAAGTATTTCTTACATTTAATCTTATGTTTGATAGCACGGCGTAAATGAGAGAGTTTCAAGTATTTTATACTTTTCATTCTATGTATATAACAAAATTATTTCAATTTTTCAAAAGGTTTTATTAGCATTAAATGTTTGAGATATATATTTCAAACATTGTTTTTCTACCAAAGTACGCATTTACATTCTTTAATCGACTTATTCTACTTGAAAAAGGTAATGTGATGGGCTGCATGAAAAAATGATTAAACTTTAGCAGCCGAAAATTCTGACACTGGTTAGACCTACATGATGCAAGTCTTATCTTACTTCTTCTTTTAAAAAGTACTAAAATAATAAGAATACAAAGTATTTCATCGACCAACTTTAACAGTTTAGATTATTTTTAAGAGGACGTAACTTTGAGTTTTTATAAAGAAAGAGAATAAATTATGAAACACGCTAAGTTTTATTGCCGGTATGATGCTCTGCTGTCCAGTGGTTTAGGCCGGCAGTTTCGGACAACATACTCCTCACTGCACTGAACTCGAATCGAGTCCCGCCACGGACCTTGGATTCTTCATGTGAGGATGATATCCAGGGAGCTGTCATCAGGATCAGGTCCGTGTCTGAAATAATGCACGAAGGGGCACCTATGGTCTTCCTTCACCGGGAAAGCTGGAAATTCACCATATGACAATAAAAACGTGTCGATGTGACTTAAACCTTAACAAAAATAGCTTTGAAACAAATGTATCATAACAGCACAAAAAAACATTTTGTCCAATATTTTTGCGTTTACAGAGATAGCTAGAAGTGGCATTGTGAAAGTTGTCAGCAGTATTTTCAAGAGAAAAAGTAAGTCTAAAAATAAATAGAACGAAACTATTTCAGTCAAATCGTCTACTTAGGTATTTCTATGTTCTTCTTATGAAAATAAATTCCGCCATTTTCAGCATTACTTTTGTTAAGAATATGTAGACGGTGTCGTTCATAGCATGATTTTTTCACTACTTAAGTACTAGAATCTTTTAATGTAATTGTTCATTTGGAAAAAATGATCCATGAGTACTATTGTCGCTGCCTGTAAATGACGATTTGCATGCTCGATTTCCTTAGTAACTTTCATATTTATTATTATTATTATACTAGTTGGACGTAAATCTGACCATGTTGTACAAACCATGCAATCGCATCTTCTCGGCTCTTTCCGTCAAACTGCGGATTATGAAAAATAACTAAGATACAATGTATTCCGATTGAAAACCATATTGATTTTATTTTCAAAATCGGTCTTACAAGATACGTATACAAAAGTTATTCTACTATAGAGTCGGCATATCGAACGGAGTGTTTGTAGTCACCGAACGGTTTGTTATGTAAAACCTTTGGTATACTTTATACAGCTCGATGTGATGCTTCGAACAATTCTTTTCGTATTAGTTTGTAAAACGATTCTTCTTTTGAAATAAATGGTCTGAAATTGAACCCACGGTGATAAGCAAAAGTGTACCATTTTCGCGTATGACCAGAGCATGGATTATGTGGTCAGTATTGTTTTCAAGTGCAGTATCTTTAATTTTCTGCAATACATATTATACAATAGTTATTATAATTTGAGTTCTAAATAAAACGTCTTTTCAACTTATTTTAATATATTTATATTCTTTTTCAGAGATTGGTCTAATTATTTTCATATTCATTGGCATACATGTTGCTAGATTTATAGCAGGTATGTCCATTTTTTTTACCAAAGAACATTTGCGTATAGCAGAAGTAATGTTTTCCAAAATAATTATAGACGTTGGAAATGCCTTCTCTAAAATATTTATGAAAGTCTACACATGTATTGGAAATCTTAAACAGTAACTGTTCTGACTGCATAGAATTGATGAAGTCATGAATACATGAATACAATTTTCTTGCAAGTAAAATTTAATCGTTTTTAGTTCACCTATTACAAATTGTAAAGGTGAGCTTTTGTGATCACAATTCGTCCGGCATCCATCCGTCCGTAAACTCTTACTTAAAACGACATCTCCAAATAAACAACTAAGCCAATTTCATCCAAATTTCATAGGAGTTTTCCTTTGGTGGTCACCTTATGATATTGTTCAAAGAATTTAATTCCATGGAGAACTCTGGTTACCATGGCAACCGCAGGAAAAAATTAAAAAATATCCTTTAAAAGAAACCAAGGAGCTACAGCTTTGATATTTGACATAAAACATTTTCTAGTGAGTGTCTACTAAGTTTGTTCATTAAAAGCCATTGGTCAAAATTGGTCCCGCCCCGGGTTTTATTTATTTACTTTTTGCTTTTCCTTAAAGTAAAAACGTTAAAAAATCTTCTTTTAAAAAGTCCAAATAGCCAGAGCTCGAAAACATCTTCTAGTGAGTGTCTACCAAGATTGTTTAAATAAAAGCCCTGTGGTCAAAATTGGCCTCACCCCGGAGGTCATTGATTATCCTTATATGTATATAGTAAAAACTTTTTAAAAAAACTCTGTTAAAGAACCCAAGGAGCCAGAGCTTAAATATTAAGATTGATATAGTTAATTGACGAATACATAGTCATAAATGCAAAACACGTAATACATAAATCAAAAGTCATTGTACTAGTATCATATTGAAAATAAATATTTTTAAACAGAAGTATATATGGAGAATGTTCATATTTAAACAATACAAAGTTGGCGTTAATCTAATTGATACGTTGCAAAAATGACTTTCATATTTTTAATATGTTGTAAATCAACGATTTAAAATACATAATAAATACCATACTGTTGCTGTTAAGGAGCTAAATTATCACGCACATACTAGTAGAAATAGTTTTTAAATGGTAATATTTATAAAGTCATATCGGCGCAAAGATGATGTATTAAGCAAGTCCAATGAATTCGGATTCATTTTATGAATTCAAATACTGCAAAAAATAAAACATACACGACATTCTGTAAAAATATGGCTTAATGACCTCCCTACGTAATGCAGTATAACAATTACAAATGATAATAAAATGAGATTCACCCTCAATTTTTTGACGATTACATAATTCGCATTTTTTTTCTGAACGTGGATGTTAAGTAGTACCATAACAATCTGCCTCTATTTTTAAATTATGAGAAGATAACCTAATACGAGATAAATTGTGTCTGTAGGATTTTATAAATACATTATCAAGATGGAATGCAGGTTCAAATTTTTCAATAAAATGTACATACAGGCTAGACAATATTTGACTAGACTGAAATCCTGCATTTACCTTTTGTATAAAACCATCAACTAATCTACGTTTGAATATTGAACAGATTTTAAGATATTATTATTTGAATGAAGAATATGTATCCAGAATCTTATTATTTGAACATATCTTTGAATATAAAGAGGATATCGCCCTAACTCCGAACAAACTGCTGCAGTACATGTACTGTGTTTTTACGCCTAAAAATGACTTGCAAAATTTCAAATTAAATCCTTTATATATCCTTAGATTATATAAAACCCCATATTGCACAAGAATAATTTAACTTTGAGGCAATAAATGTATCAAAGAGTTGAAGTGAAACGGAAGGGGTCACATCATATTTGTTAATATAAAGAAATAAAACATTTTGGGCTTTCATAGCTTTTCCTTTAGCATGCTGATTATGAAGTTGAAAAGGCCCAGTATAATTAAAGACTACACCAAAATAGTTGAAGTTATCAACTGTCTCTAATAAAGTATTATCGTATGACCATTTTTCATTTTCTCTGATTCTTCCTCTCTTCCTAAAAACCATTGTTTTAGTTTTATCTGTGTTGCCCACTAAGCCCTATTTATCACAATAAAACTGTAAATTATTCAGATTCGATTGCAAGTCTTCGACTGACTTTCCAAATATGACCATACCTAATGAAATATTAGGACATGTACATTTACAATAACAACTGTAGTTTTGGACACTCGTGTGCTCAAATCTCAGTGATATACATACATGACCATTTAATAAGGTCTTAACTTACAAGTACTTTGAAGAAATAAATAAATATGACTTTCGCAATAATTTTATTGCAAAACTCATTGCGTTGATATGATTTTATTGCAATTTGATTAAAACCGGTTTTGCAATAAAAACGAGTTTTGCAATAAAATAATTTTTTCTATCAGATTTTATTGAGATTATACAAAAGACATGATAAAATTTATCGATGTATATTAGGATTGACAGGCAGGGATTATATTCGGAAATAATGAATATATATGCATATGGTCAAACAATAATTTACATTCTCAATTTCATTAGTTTTTTTCTTTTAATATATATGATGAAAAAATGATCATCATGAAATATCAGGACATGTAAATTTACAACAACAACTGTAGTTTTGGAAACTCTTGTGCTTAATTCTCTGTGATATACATACATAACCTTTTAGTAAGGTCTTAACTTATCAGTACTTTGAAAAAAGAACAAAAAAACGAGTTTCGCAATAATTGTATTGCAAAACTCGTTGCGTTGACATGATTTTATTGCAATTTGATCACAACCAGTTTTGCAATAAAAACGAGTTTTGCAAAAAAATATTTTTCTATCGGATCTTATTCAGATTAGACAAAAGACATTATAAAATTTATCTACGTATATTATGATTGACATGCAGGAATTATATTCGAGACTAATGAATACATGATATGCATATGGTCAAACAATAATTTACATTCTAAATTTCATTAGATTTTTTTTCTTTTAATACATATGATGAAAGAATGATCATCATGAAATATCAGGCCATTTACATTTACATCAACAACTGTAGTTTTGGAAACTCATGTGCTCAAATCTCTGTGATATACATACATGACCATTTAAGAAGGTCTTAACTTACCGGTACTTTGAAAAAATAAAAAATAAACGAGTTTCGCAATAATTTTATTGCAAAACTCGTTGCGTTGACATGATTTTATTGCAATTTGATCACAACCGGTTTTGCAATAAAAACGAGTTTTGCAATAAAATATTTTTTCTTTCGGATTTTATTGACATATGTCATATATATACCTTTAAGTACACCTGTATGCAAAATTTAAACAAAGTTTACCGTACGGAAAACCAAGTTATGCCCACTTTTCTGAACTCAAGCTAGGATGTTATGAAGGCCCTTTTTGAAATAAGGAACCTTTAAATAATCTGCAATAACATTCTAATGAAAAATGTTTTCCCATTATTTTTTGGTAAGAAACAAATAGCACCATTCAGCTAATAATCCACATAAGCAAAATTATGGTTTCTACTAAAATTTATGAAATCTGTATAAAAATGTTACCCTACCCCACCCATTTTTATCACGTGTCTGACCATTTTCCTAGTTTTGATTTGTTCACACTTTGAAAATATCAGGTACCATATTTATTACTAGATTTAGCTTAATTTAGCCAATAAATACCTATATAAATTAAAAAATTAAAATCAAACACTTTTCTTTCCAAATGGGTCATGAGAGGTACATAAATAATGTTAAAAGAAAAAAGAAAAAAAAAGTTGACCTTTCTTGGTATTGAACCCAGGGCCAACATTTTCAATGTTGTTAACAGTAGTGCTAGCCTATTTGAATACTCTTCAAAGCGGAGGTAATACATTAGGATGGTAATACCTTAATATATATGATGAAAGAATAATCATCATGTAATACCAGGACATTTACAACAATTTGAGAATAATGTATACATGTATATGTTTTACAATAATTTACATTCCTAAAGTCATATATGCTTTTCTTAAGTGAATATGATCATAAAAAGATCATCGTGACATTTACATTTTCAACAACAACTGTGGTTCTGGAAATCCGGTTCTGATCAATTTGCAATAAAATCATGTCAACGCAGCGAGTTTTGCAATAAAATTATTTCGAATGTTGTATTGATTTATTTCTTCAAAGTACTGATAAGTAAAGTTTTGTTTTTTTGTTCTTTCATCAAAGTATTGGTAAGTTAAGACATTATTAAAAGGTCATTTATGTACATCACAGAGATTTGAGCACAAGAAAAGCATGAAAGTACTATGCGTATGCTCATCGAAAACCGGTGCTAGGGGCTCGGTGAAAAGTATATTTAGCACACTTTCTTTCTTTTTATAACATTATAACTTAATTTCTTTATCTTTTCGGCATCTGTAAAAGGACAATGTATAAAATTTAATAACCATCTCAAATATTACTACTGTTCTAGCCCCTAGCACCGGTTTGCAATTGGCATAAAAATACGTATGGAAACTATGTCTTTCAAATTAGAATCGCAAAGTCCCTAATTTTTAGAATAATTCTAGGTTTTACATATTCACGTGTGAGATAGATTTACGTATAATCATGTTGTCTTTACACCGGTGCTAGGGGCTAAAACTACAGTTGTTGTCCTAATAATTCACGATGACCATTTAATAATCATATATATTAAAAGTAAAAAAATTACTTTTGGAATGTAAATTTTTGTTGTGACATATACATGTATATATTATTGCCGAATATAATGCCTGCATGTTGGTCCTTAAATGGAAAGATTATTTTAATAATGTCTACACTATATTTTCAATAAAATCCGATATAACAATATTTTAAACTCGTTTTTTATTGCAAAATCGGTTGTGATAAAATTGCAATAAAATTAAGTCAACGCAACCGGTTTTGCAATAAAATTGTGAAACTACGAGTGAAAAAAAAAATTCAACAAAAGTATGCAATCGCAACGACT